ATTCGAATCATTCGCTCTCGAATGTAAATCCGTTCGAAAGAAAAAAAAAATCCCACAATTTTACCTGCTATTGTAATTATGAGTCCAATTATTACTCTCAAAACTCAAGAGGGTATCCTTGAACAAACTCCTAATAAGTGATGAAGGAAGTTTCTTCATCACAAAATAAAAAATAAAAAAAAATGTTGAATTTCTAGTAGGGTGAAGGTGGAACTTGTCCTTTCCTGGATACATTACGTATAAAATAAACAGGTAACTCAAAAACTTACACTTTTGATACACCCGACCCAAGATTCTAAGATTTCGCGTACACATTTCATCGTTCTCTGTGTCATAAAAACATTGAGAAAGCGACCATGTATAAATAGTCAAACAAAGCAACTCTGTATAATTCACAAGAGAACAGGTTCCACAAACACTAAACGATAAAAACTTGTTTCAGTAGCATCGATAACTTAACTTTTGCATGTTAATTTATGGTATTAGTCCCCTTTTTTTTTTTTATTTGATAATTATATTAATTTTAATTAATTCAGAATTGAATCACGTCAGATGTATTAAAATGAAGTTTTTTTAATATATGTTTTTTTATTCACAAAATTAAAATTTGAAACCTTATTTAAAAGGATCAAATTCTTACCATTCGAATTAACAAATCATTAGTTTTACATGTTAATTTAATTCATATCATTTAACGCGTAATTGTTGTTAAATAGTTCTACTTGTTTAAAAAAAATTTAAATTATTTATATAATTTCAATTTTATCAAATTATTTAGTATTAATTATAAAATAAAAATTAAATTTCTTGACATTTAGTTTTTTTATTTAATAATTTTTATTTTATAATATAATCTTAACAGTAAAAAAGGAATCTTACCTAAATTTGTGTCCAAAAAAACAAAACAAACAGGTAAAAAAGATTGCAAGGAGCATAATTAATTTTTTAATCATTTCTAGTGTAAAACTGAAAATATATTTTCAAAACTAAAACTAAGTAGTCTTTTAATATAGTTTTTTAGTTTTGATTATTTCTAGTATTATTCATTTTTATTTTGTTTGGATTTTTTAATATATACTTTAAAGACATAAATTAAAAATATAATTATTATATTTTTAGTCATTAAATTATATTAAAAAATAAATATTAACTTTAATTTTATCGATTAATTAATTAAAATAATACACACAACATTAATTTTTTTTGTTTATATTATTCAAAATTTATATTAAATTTTAATTAATCTCAAATCCAGTAATGTTAAATTTCATAACTAAAAACTTTTTCAATATCAATTTTTTTATTATCATAATTTAAACTTAAAATATTATTAAAAAAAAAAAACTCATTCCATTTAAACCAAGTAATTGCGTTGGTGGACATTAATATTGACATTAATATCAACTTCTTTTCATTTTATTTTGTGAAAATTTAATATTTAAAAATGCAATAATTATATTTGGAGGCACATATTAAAAACACTCATCCTATTTGTTTGACTTTGGGATGGTGATTGATCAAAGTGGTTGTCGGACATGGCGTGTGAGATGCACGCTCTAATAAGAAGCAATGATGAAGTTGGCCCCCTCCCCTGTGACCGCAAGCATGGAATTCTTCCACTGAATTGCTACTGACGTGGGTGAATGTAAAGGCCCCACGTACCACCCCCCTTATTTTTCACCCCTTTTGTGTTGTTGGAGCGCACATGGGAAGGCGGGATGTCGTGTCGACACTCGAATACCTTAGCGGTGAGCATACGCGTTCCTCTCCTAAATATTGTATGTCACGCAGAAAATGCATCATTAAC